TGTAGTTGGTTCTCTACAAAGATAACATCTCTGCTGATGATAACCTTGCGGGTAGTGGGATCCCACAGGCGATACCCCTTTACTCCATCAGCATACCCCAAGAATATGCATTTTCTGGATTTTGAATCCAGCTTTGTAATTTCTTGGGCATTGTACATTACGTACACTGGACTTCCAAATATATGGAGGTTGGAATAATCAGCTGGCTTGCCAGTCCACATCTCCATCGGCGTCTTCAATTGTATTGCAGTTGATGGAGATCGATTTATCACATAACAGGCGGTTTTTACTGCTTCCACACAAAATACTTTTTCCAGATTTGCAGTAGCCAGCATAGCTCTTGTTCTTTCCAACAGAGTTCTGTTCATCCGCTCCGCCACTCCATTTTGTTGAGGAGTATAAGCCGTACTGAATTGTCTTTTGATGCCTTCATGCTTGCAGAATGCTAGGAATTCACCGTCTGTGTATTCTCCTCCATTATCTGTTCTCAAGCACTTGATCTTCTTCTCAGATTCAAGCTCGACCCGCGCTTTGTAGGCTTTAAAGACTGAGAACACATCCGCCTTCTTCTTGATAGGATACACCCAACATCTCCTGGAGTAATCATCAATAAAGGACACAAAGTACTTTGCTCCTCCTAAGGATGTAACTGGTGCTTGCCATACATCAGAATGAACCAGTTCCAGAATAGCCTTGCTTCTAGAACTCGATGTGTTGAACTTCAGTCGATGTTGCTTGCTTGTAACACAATGCTCGCAGAATGGAAGAGCTACCAAATTAAGTCCAGGAAGCAGTTTCTGATCGGAGAGAACCTTCAAGCCTCGTTCTGACATGTGGCCTAGCTTGCGATGCCACATCATGGTTTGTTCTTCTCCACGGCTGGTTGATGCCACACATGAATCAGCTTCCTGCATGGTTTCTCCCTTGCCACACATGAATCAGCTTCCTGCATGGTTTCTCCCTTGAGCATGTACAGATTTGCAGCTATCTTTTCTCCTTTTATCACCACAAGCGCCCCTCTAACAATCTTCATGACTCTATTTTCTATATGAGTCTTGCACCCGAGCTCATCTAATTGTCCCAAAGACAATAGATTCTTCTTCAAGCCTTTCACATGTCGCACATCTTGAATGGTGCGTATTATACCATCAAACATTTTGATTTTGATAGTACCAATACCACAAATCTCCAAGGCATGATCATTCCCCATGAATACAGATCCTCCTGAGATAGGTTCATATTTGTGAAACCAATCTCTCCGAGAGGTCATGTGCCAAGAGGCTGCTGAATCTAGAAGCCAGACATCAGCAAACTTCTTTCTGCCTTCATCAACAGTGGTTGCTCCACTGAATAGAATTTCACCATCCTCTGACGTGCTAACAACGCATCCTTGAGATGTTGATGGCTCTGAAGACTTTTTATCTCCACTCTTCTTGTTGTGCCAACACTCCGATTTGACGTGCCCTCTTTTGCCACAGTTGTAGCATTTGATATTCTTCTTACTTCGTGATTTCGATCTACCATGAGCATGACTCCCACTTGAGCCACGTTCCGTTGATCTTCCTCTCGTCACCGACAAGGCCTCCGCTTGTTGCGAACTTGTCTGCCTGTCTTCCTTGTTCTTGCGCCGATTTTCTTCCTCCAGAACAGCGGCTGCAACATCGTCGAAGACTAGATTGTCCGTGAGGACGTTGTTCGTCAGGTTGATGATGAGTTGATCATACGAGTCAGGTAGACTCTGAAGTAGAAGTTCTGCACGTTCATTCGCACCAACTGTATATCCCAACGTTGTGAGTTGGGAGAACAGTGTGTTTAGGGTGTTGATGTGGTCGGTCATCGATGTAGATTCCGCCATCCTCAGAGTGTAAAGTCTCCTTTTTAAGAAGATTTTATTGTGCATGGATTTCGCCTCATATAGCTTTGTTAGAGTATCCCAGATCTCCTTTGCTGTCTTCTTCTCCTCTATGCTTGACAGCACCCCGTCTGCTAATGCCAGATGGAGATTTGTGAACAGTAACCGTATCCGTGAATAGTGTCGTACTTATGAATAGTACCGTATTTGTGAACAGTACCGTACTCGTGAATAGTACCCGTTACCTCCAAAGGGTAAGTGATAACCTAACTTATTTTCTGATGTGGAGGATCCACCTTTGGTGGCAGCCACAGAGCATACGATAAGTAGATATATACAAGTACCCTAAGTTGGCTCTGATACCACTTGTTGGGACAAACCCGGGGCCCAATAGAGCAGGATCGCAACAATAGTAGAGCAAAAGTAGAGTAAAATGTTGGACACACAGATTTACGTGGTTCGGCACTTGATTGCCTACGTCCACGGGCAAGGATAGAAGAATTTACTATGAGGAGAAAACTCTGGAGATACAAACTCTCTCTCTTTACAAGGAGAAACTCTCTCTATTTATTCTCTCTCACTCTTCTTATATAAGAAGTTGTTTTTGGGATGAGATTTCCTTAAGGATTTGGAGCCCTATTTATAGTTTTTTGAAAAACACTATGCACAATAAAATATTAATATTTTACTGTAGCAGTGGGCCCCACCATTTTGTTTTCTTTTTCCTTTGTAAAAAGGTGGGTGCTCTTGTCAAAAATATGAGGCTGCTTTCGGTGATTGATAGGCGCCTGACACTATGTTCCTTTCCTTTTTATCCCCATATTCAATGAATAAAATTGTTGATTCCCTAATGCATGTCTTGTTGGTGAAATTTCTGAATTTGTACTGGAGTATCCACAACCCCTACCTCTGGGGTTTGCTAGAAACCACTTAAACTTGGGAGATTTTGCAAGAAAACCCCCAACAATAAGGGTTCAAATTCGAAAATTTCCGGTTTTCTTACCCATGTTTGCACCATTTAGCTGCGTGTTTAAACAAGTTGAGTATGATTTTTTTTTAAGTAAAGAACACTGAGTATGAAATCTTGAATCAAATAGAAGCGCTTGAAACCTAGCTCCTTTATCCAACTAGCCAGGAAACAAGATTTCTGCATAAAGGAAACAAATGTCACTGGGATTCTAGGAATAGGAAAATTTGATTCTTAAAATTATTGCCTAAAGTAGTAAACAACAAAATTAGAAAAGAACACTATAAAATTAAAAAAACGCACTATTCTCTTGCACCAACGATTGCAGTAAGGGTATAGTCAATATTTCATTAATATTAACGAAGAAATTAGGTGGAAAATACATTTGGTGGTTAAATGTTGACAAAAATGATAGATGGGGATGGGTTTGTAAAAGGGTTAATTTGAATAAAAAAAACCCAAATTTTTTTTAGGGAATTGCACATAATCTCCCTGAAACTTTATTTATCTCATATAACCCTCACCCTAACAACCCCGCACCATCCAAAAAATAAAAAAAACCTCCTCCGCCCCTAATGTTCGAGGTATCTTGCAAAAAGCCCAAAAACTTTAAACTTTTCTCATTGGACTCCCCTACATGTGACTTAAAAATAATTAAATTTTTTTTCTGGAAAGAAAAAAATTCTATACTTTGTCATTAGTTATTTACAGGTAATATACCCTCTCTCTTAAATTTTGTATTTAATCCTCACAATGAAACTTTAGTTATTTGCAGATTACATGTAAGGGGGGTACGGTGAGAAAAGTTCAAAGTTTTAGGGGATTTTGTAAGTCACCCTAAGATTTAGAGGGGCTTATGTGAGATAAACGAAGTTCAAGAGGGTTTTGTGCACGAGGGTTCTGTGCAACTCCTTCATAGCTTAAGGGGTTAATATGAAATTAACTCTGGTAATTGATAGTAGTAATGTGAAATAGACCTAAATTAGGGGGATTTACTAAAAAACCTTTATTTTTTACAAAATGAAAACATTTATATCACATTAAAATATAAATTTAAATTTGTAAGGATAATTCTATTTATATCACATCTCCAAAATTTTCTCCAAAATAGGGAAGCAAAAGTCATATTCTCAAACTAATTTTTACACCAACTCCAACAACTTCCTTATTTTGAAGAATCTCTTTTTTCCTCCAAAAATTTGAAAAATGCTGCAGATTTGGGGAAGCTTCCCCATTTTTTCTCCTCCCTCCCTATTTTGGAGAATGAGATGGGGAATCTGTTGGACCAAAAACCTAACTAAATTCTCCAAAAGTGGGAAATGAGGAAGCTGTTGGAGAAGCTGAAGTATGAAAATTAAACTTGTGAAAATAATTCTATATATAGCTGGTTACATTCTGTAAATCACTAGCCAAATTATATTACTATTTTTAGCAAAATAATTAAGGGTTTTTTTCAGTATGAACCGCTTAAATTATAAGTAATTTGGTATTAGCCCCTTAAATATTTATATTTTGTATCAGCCCTCAAATAGCTATGGTATATGTTGATATGAGTCCCTATGGTTAGGTTCATATTTTGATATTAGCCCTTCAAATAGCCATGATGTGTTGATATGAGCTCCTCATATTAACACATCATAGCAACTTGAGGGGCTAATATCAAAATATAGAGATTTAAGGGATTAGTACAAATTACCTTTCAATTTAAAGGGCTAATATCTAAAAAAAACCTAGGAATTAAAAGATTCATACTACCTTTTGTCCTTTGAGACAAAATAAAAAAAAATAAAAGAAAGAAAGAAGGAAAGGAAGAAAGAAACCCACGTGAAAAGAACCTTCCACATAATTCCAAAAGATCCAGTCCCACTTAGGCCAATTGGGCCCCCATGGGCTTATCGTTACCCAATTAATTATGATTTTATTCAATCAAAAATCCCCTCATATCGCGCTATGATCTCTCTCTCCTCTCACTCTCTCTGGGATTAAATCCCAATCGATCTCTTCCCCAAAATCCCTTGATTCGTTTTCTCGCCAAAAGAGGTACCTTTCGATCTCACTCGTCCGCAATTTTAATCTTCACTTATTAAATTTTTATGCAAAGGGTTGCTTTATTTCGTTTTCTACTCAGAATTTTGTGATTCCTTGTAAGTTTTAGGCCTTCCAAGTTTAGTCCAGATTTCTTCCTTGGGATCTGTATTAACTGCTTAAATATGCGAAAATCAATCCAAAGAGGGGATTTTGGATGTCTGGCTGTCAAGTTCTTGCTCTTATTTTTTGGAAAATTAACTTGAATCTATGGCTTTTACTGCTTAGGTTAGTGGAGAGTTGTTGGGGGGGAAAAACCCCTTTTTTAGTCCTTATTAGAAAATTATGCTGCTTGTATGTTGGGTTGATGTCGAAAAGTGTAATTTAGGTGTTTGTGACAATTTTATCGTTAGGGCTTTTTTGTTTATAGTCTGATTATATTTACAACTAGAGATGCTCTTGTTGAAGCTAGCTTTGATTGTTACAACTTACACGAGATCATTACATTGTTATATACCTAACACCTATATATCATACAATTGTTTGTATTGGTATAAAGCTAACAGCTTTATATCCTGATTAGTTTTGAATTGTATGCATAAAGGAAATCATCATGTGACGTTAGATTCTAATTTGGCTTTTCGTCCAACCATTTGTGAAGGTGGCATGTAGTTCTCAGTAGGAATTTGTTTTCCGCTTTGCCTAGTGCATTTTCCGCGGATGTTAGCTCTGATGACATTGTTGTGAGAGAAGTAAAGATTTCTTAAAGGATAATGTTTCTTGGTAATACACTTTTCACAGTAGGCTTAACTCATTTTCCATGCCTTTTGCAAAAGTTTTATGACTATTTTCAGCTCCTTTGGGAGGTACATACCATACTTCAATATTCGATCAGAGAATATTGAGGTTGGATAGGTTATGCTCCCATATAAAGATAAGTGGTTATGAGCCAGCAGGTCACCTTTAGAAAAGTTGCTGCTAATATATCATATTCCTGGTAGCTTGTTGTAAAACTTCCCATAGAGTTCTATTTTAGTTATACTTGCTTTAGAGTTCTTGCACCCCTTTCTGAATTGCATATTTATGTGTTTTCTGCTTATGTTTAATCTAGTGTTGTAAGATTTTAGCTTTTATTATTATTATGTTTTTTTTGAAAAATAATGCAATTTATTTATAAAGATCAGAATATAAGATCTGTCAAATTTTAGTTGAATTTTTTTTTTTTGGCAAGTCTTGGTTTGGCCTACAAGTCCCTTGGTTTGGATCTGCATATATGGAGGAGCTTGATCCAATGCTGACCTTGATTAGCCATTAGTCTGAGCGCTTAGACGACATACAACCTAATCAAATTTCCATAAAACCTTAACATTCTAAGCACAAGTACCTTCTGAAGACAGCTTCATTTGCTAGTCTGCTGCATCTCCTCCCAGTTCACAACATAGCTGCTTCTCTTCTCTCTCCTGGTCATGCCGAGGCCTCATATGCGAACATGTCTGCTGTTGCATAGACAGTCTAACTGACACACCCTAATGATGACATAATTTAGAATTGTATCTTGAAGTAGCCTCGCATATGCTCAATTTTCTCCCTCAGCATTTATCCATTTATTTCTCAGCGGACTTTTTGAGGCGGTATATTGCGAGCAACTTCATTTTCCTCAGAGAAGCCTCCCTTCCTAACCCTATGCAACAAATAAGAGTAGCTATATTGTGTTGACAATTGTTATCTGTGTTCTGAGTTCTTCTGCAGCTCGTGCGCATATAACTATTAAGTTATGCAGTGACAAACAAGTGTGATGCAAACAAAAATTGTGACTTCTGTACTTAGAAAGGCCTGCACTGCTATCCTTACTTTTAGTAAACTTTTGGTATGTAGTCACTGCATCGTTATCAATTGCGGGCTCCTCTCTGAATTGACTTGTTAATTCTTCAGTGAAGTATATTTAATACTAGTTATTTGTCTTTTTCCTCACAATACTTGCTTGCAAAGGAGTATATAATGAAAGCAATGCGTCTTCACAGAGCATATATTCTTTCAGTCTCATATGAGTCCTCTTGCAATTTCATGTTTCTCAACTGTTTATTTTGCAGATGGAAGCACATGATCCTCATGCACCTCATCAAGTTGTTGACATAAGTGTAGATATCCCGAAGGGGGTATCAAGCCAAACCGGGAGCAAGATTTGTCGTGTCACGACTTGTGGCTTATCAAGCACTGGAGCAAACGAAAAGGATGCCCAAGAAAGACAAGCATCAATGAGAAAGCTACTAATTGCGGTTGTCCTGTGCATCATCTTCATGGCTGTTGAAGTTGTAGGAGGAATCAAAGCAAACAGCCTTGCAATTCTAACTGATGCGGCCCATCTCCTCTCTGATGTTGCAGCTTTTGCCATCTCCTTATTCTCTCTATGGGCATCAGGATGGGAAGCAAATCCAAGACAATCTTATGGTTTCTTCAGAATAGAGATACTCGGTGCTCTTGTTTCCATCCAGCTTATATGGCTCTTAGCTGGCATACTAGTCTACGAGGCCATTGCTAGACTAATAAACAACACTGGTGAAGTCCATGGAGTCTTGATGTTCGCTGTTGCCACCTTTGGCTTGGTTGTTAACATCATCATGGCCGTATTATTGGGTCATGACCATGGGCATGGGCATGGTGGGCATAGCCATGGCCATAGTGACCATGACCATGATCATGACCATTCTGGGCATGACCATGCTCATGACCATGGCCATCAACATGGGGATCATCACGAACCTTTGTTAGATGCTCCGAAAAAGAAAAGAAACATTAATGTCCACAGTGCATATCTTCATGTGCTTGGAGATTCAATTCAGAGCATAGGGGTGATGATCGGAGGAGCAATTATATGGTACAAGCCAGAATGGAAAATACTCGATCTCATATGCACACTTCTATTCTCTGTGATTGTCCTCGTGACGACAATCAACATGCTGAGGAACATTCTGGAAGTATTGATGGAGAGCACACCGAGGGAGATTGATGCGACGAGGCTCGAGAAGGGTTTGTGCGAGATGGAAGGCGTGGTGGCGATCCACGAGCTGCACATATGGGCCATTACTGTCGGAAAGGTGCTGTTGGCTTGTCACGTGACAATCACCCCCGAAGCCGATGCTGATCTCGTGCTTGATAAGGTGATAGGGTACATCAACAGGGAGTATAATATCAGCCATGTCACTATTCAGATTGAGAGGCAGGAAGTTTGATTTTGATTTGGGGGATGCTTCAAAAGAAAAGGTTGGTTGTCTTTAAAATTGCCAAATTCTGCATCATCTCATTGCAAGGCCACAGCTTGTAGATTCTTGTGTCCAGCTTTTTAGCTGGAGTCCATCAAGTCGAAGGTAGATATATCTGGGTATAGCTGCCTCCTGATCTTTAATATGCAGCTCTTATGTGAATTTGAGATGCCTGTTTTTCTTTTTCTTTTTTTTTCTTTTTTTTGGGTTCATTTTTCCGTCTTTAAGGAGCCGAGTGATTCGGAGGTAAAATCACCCAGTATTTCATGAGGACTGCAGTTTTCTTCTTCTTCAATTGAGATAGTTTTTGATGTTGTTCTGTAGTTTCAAAGATTTAATGTGCATAATGTCTGTTATTAATCCTTAGGTTTCTGTTTTTATTGAGTCTTAATGATATGCATTAGTGTGCAACTGTAGAAATAAATCATGGAAATTGTGGAAATAGCGCTATAAAAATTTATTATTGGTTATCGTTGCTGAAAATGAAACAGCAATTTGTGAGGATTTTTGGGAATAATTTTAAAATAACTATGATTTGTAATAAAAATTTCCCCTATAAGAGCGGGGTGGTGGGCGGTTTGCACCATAAACATAATGGTTAAGTTTTCTGAATTAACGTTTTACAATTCTATTTGCGGTCATGCGGTGTAAGATCATTCTAATGTACGCCGAGGGGGGGGGGCGAGGGGCGGGGGCAATAGACATGTCACGTTAGTTTTCTAAATTAACCTTCTATAATCCTTTTTGGTGAACGGTATAGATTTAGATTGCGCTAGTGTATGCGGGTGTTTTGATAAAATTTGTTCTCATGTACGCGGGAACATTTAATTTAGAGCCTGTTTGGTTGTGTAGAAATAGCGCTATAACTCAGCTTGTACGTAAAGTTTTCTTGTATTCCAGAGTAAATACAAGAACAATATTTATGTGTTAACTGTTAATTGTTTGGTTTGCAACAAGAACAATACTTATGTGTCAATTGTTTGGTTTGCAACATTGTAGTTAGGATAGAGAACTGAAAGCAAAAGCTCCCATCTTCAATAAATAAATAAATAATAATTCCACCACATCATAAAAAATCTTTTAAAATCCAAATATGATAACGTCTACACCCTAGTTTTTCTTGTATGGTGAACCTATGTAGCTTTTGCACCCGTATTTTTCAATGCACCCGTATTTTTCAATCAAATACTGTTTAAATTTGCATTAGAAATGCATTATTTTCAAAGATTAGAAAAAAGGAAAAAGAACAAAAAAAAACTCATATTCATGTCATATCATACTCGTACTCTAGGGCTGCAAATGCTTTTAAATTAGCAAATCATATCATATCATATCACGAGTTCGGAAAAATCTTTCTATGATCAATATTATCTTTAAATTTTTTTAAATATTACCTAGTTATCCTAATCTATTCTAATTATTCTATCTTCTTTGAATTAGTAATTAAATAATTTATCCTATTCATAATGAGATTTGTTGATGTTAAATGATCACACAATCAATTATATCCGTGGTTGGATAGGGGTGGGGTAGATAAGGGGCTGCTTTCTTCCCCGAATATCCAATTCTGAGTTTGGTTGCTGGAAAGCCTGCACATATGGAAACACGAGAGGACGATGACTGCTTCCCTCGTAGTTCCTCCGACGATCAAGTCGGCTGGTGAACTTAAGTGGGGAAAATAAAGAACTGTGAGAGTTCTGATGTGTGCAGTATGATTTGCAGATTACTCTAAGAAGATCATATTCGTGACCCTTTTTCCGAAGAAGATTTTTGTTAGAATAGTACCACGTATTTATAGTGACACTGAAAAGGCATAACCGTCATTGTGGCCGAGCACAAGATGGCTGTGAAGAAGCATAGGCTGGCAGCTGAGTCAGCTCTTGCTTTACAGCTGTCGGCTGGCGACTGGAGGAGAGATCATCTTGGCATTAAATAGGAAATGATCGAAGGTATGATGATGCTCACGTGGTCCGATAAGTCATGAAGACTATCGATGCTAGAGGTATAGTGGTGCATGCCAAGCCTTAAATATGATGCTGACACGTTGTCAGTGGGAGAGGCTCGAGGTTGAAGTTGTCATCTATCTTCGTCGAGAAGTAACACCTTTCGAGTCGACCTCATGAGGCGTCGAGTAATTCGTCGAGTGGGCTCATTGTGAGTCATCTTCGACAAAGGGGGCGACAAGTACCGCCTTTCGAGTAGACATGAGGGAATGTCGACTCGGCGAGTCGGCTGAGTTGTCGCCCTTATTGGTCTTTGACCGTCAACTTGATTGGGCCATTGCATGCAGATGTACACCTATCCGTTGCTAGCTAATGGTCGCAGTTAGGTGATTGAAAACACCATAACAAGAGTTAGCATGTTATTGGATAAAGAAAATATATTTGATATAATTTAAATCCTTTACTTATTTCAGTTCGTAGAGAAACCTAAAAAAACATATGCTAGCCAGCACCTAAAAGTTTTTGGACTTTGTAGAAAATATCCTCCAAAATTTTTAAATTATAAAAACACCCCTATAAATTTAAAATTTTATTCAAACATCTTGAAAATTATAAATTTTACTTATTTCAATTTAGTGATAAATCTGAAAAATATATGCTAGCTAGAAACTAAAAGTTTTTTGACTTTGCAGAAAATATCTTGTAAGTTTTAAAAATTGCAACAACACCTCTAAAATTCAAAATTTATAGAAAACACCTTGGAAATTTAAAACCTATGAACACATTAAAAACATACAATTAACACAAATAAATCCTAAAAATTTATGGATTTGCAATAAACACTCTAAACTTTTTACAAATTGTAAAACAAAAACTCAAAATTGTAAAATTTACAAAAATTCTACTAATTTCCAACTTAACAATACGTTGAAAATATAAGAATTATAAATATCCCCCACATAATTTGTAATTTATGGTAAACAGTCCTTTAAAGTTTTAAAAATTACAAACAAACCCTTAAAGTTCAAATTTTACAAAAAACACCTGAGAATTTTAAACTCATTAGTAATTTAAAAACACAGGAATTATAAATAGTCTATAAACAATTTATAATTTGTAGAATATGCCTATAAGTTTAAAAATTACAAAAAAACCCCTAAATTTTATAATTTATAAAAAAACACCATGAGAATTTTTAACCTATAGACACTAAAATGAATATATAAAACTACTAACAACCCCTAAAAAATAAAAAAAATTTAAAAAATATCATAATCTCTTCAAAAGTATAGGTTTAGGAAAATTTTTTTATGGTCAATATTATCCATAATTTTTTTGAAAAGAACATAACTAATTAAAAATCCATTAAATTTAAAATTTATAAAAACACCCTTAAAGTTTAGTACATTGCAAATTACCCCTCTAAAGTTTAAAATTTTTAATGACTTTTTGTATAATTTCTTGATTTCAATATAATGTTAAATAGTTTGGTGTATTTGTAAATTACAAAATTTTACGGTGTTTTTTTATAATTTTTAAAACTTTTTAGGGTGTTTCTTTTATAGTTTTATAAATTTTCATTATGTTTGAAGTGTAATGCATAGATACGTTAATTAATGATAATATTACAGAGTAAGTCGTTCTTAAGATGTATTAGACTATAGTTAAGTGTGCACATCACTATTCCTAGACAGTATAGTTAATATATGCAAAAAAATTTAGAAAATCTATATAATGATTAAAAAGATTTTGATTTTCATGTACTATTTTTTATGAATTATATTTAATGTGAACCCACCATATAATTTTGGCTGTAGTCATCATAATTTTAATACGTTTCATTGATTGACTATATAGGTATATAGATCATAGATTACTTTACTTTCTCACATAAACTAATATTTGACGCTTAATAATTTAAATTATTACGTTTATATTTAATATAAAGAGAAGCTCTAATAATATTTATTTATTTACCTACAGGATAATACAATCTCAATTCCTATTTTTCTTAAAATTTTTTCCATAGTTACGCTATCAAATTAGTAACTATATTAATAAATATTTATGCTTAAATTAGGATGATTGCAGTTGGATACTCACTATGAAATTTTTATGAAGATATATACCTTACTTTCTATAGCTATCCGCATTGTAGATGTATATTTTATAACTTAGTTGTTAATTTGACATATTAAAGTATTTTTCCTTTGTAGAAATTTCTTCTTTGACTTTTAGATTGTGTAATCACTACATCACCATTCTAGCATAGAAATGATCTCACTCTAAATGGCTTCAAGCCAACGTTTGAGTTGAATTGAAATGTATACTATTGCTATTATGTGTATATATTTTTTAAGAAAATAATGTCAACCTTTCTAAACAGAAGATAATATTCTAACATCTTATATTATAAACAATAAATATAGTCAATTAAGTAATAGCAAAAGAGAACTTATACATAAGAAAAGTGTGAATAATAAGATAACGAGAAAATATAAAGGCATTGTCAGTAGTACTACCAATAGCAAACTATAATGTAAAGTTAATCTAATTTGTGAAGCCCAACTATTAGCTATAAGCATCGAGGTTCCCACATATATACTTTACAATTTATTAAGGAGGGCTATATAATCTTATATGATAAAATTGATTTAATTCTGAATAGTAATATCGTTATTTGGAAAAATTATTCATGAACCAGTATGTTCTTTACGATATATAAGCTATGCACTCCAACTTCTTATGTCTTTTATAGAGTCAAAAAATTTGAATACAAGTCTCTAACATTTTACTCCCACAACAACAAAATCCACTTAGCAGATGTGTATATTCCAGATGAGTTATATACATATACACAATACAATTGTCTAGGCAAGTGAGTTATAATAACATTTTTAATTCACATCGTTTAGGCTAAGATTTGATAATGACCTTGCATCAAATATATATTTTTATATCTTTAGAGCACATAGTGAAATATATCATAATCTCATTGCTCTAATTTCGCAAGAAAATAATTCTTCATACATTCAGTTTTACTTCTATGATACGGAGAATGAACTATAAAATTGAATAAGAATATTAGATGATGCAAATATGAGTGAAACCACAACTAAAAGTTAATGTGAATCTGAGACAAAGCACAAATAAAAGTTTAATGGACATATTGAAAGTAAATTCATATGCAAAATTCATTGGCGAATTGAATGATCACACATTTTTTGAAGACTTCGAGATATTAATAAACAGAGATGTTGTACTAGATCAATATGTTTATAACTCACAAATAGTAGATCATGTGACCACAGTCTGGATTGAAGGAAACAATAACAATATTTCATTTGAGAAAGAGATTATTGAGTTGATCAATCTCACAAAAAAACTTTTTTTTTATTTTATTCTATTTTTATCAATTTAAATAAACATGATATTCAACCACGTGCATTGCATGTGAATCTCAACTAGTTATCATATATAAATATCAAAATTATTGGTATTTTACTTTTTTACTCAATTTGTTCCTTTGACGGTTCCTAAGGCCCCGTTTGGCAAAGGGTTAAGGAAGATGGATTATGGAGATGGGTTAACTTAGTTATTCCATCATGAAGGGTTAAAAATATTCTTATTCCGTTTGGATTCGATAGGTAATACAAGGGGTTAAGTCTTTTGTGTTTGGCAAATGAAAAAGGGCTAAGGAGATTAATCTCATTATTTTTAAAAAAAATACCACTTTCGCCCTTATTGAAAATTTATAAATAATTACCTCATTAAAATAAAAGGAGCTTGAATTTATGTATAGTTGACTAAAAAAATTATAGAATTTGGTATTATTCAACCTCTATCAACCTATGTGATTCTGTAGTCATTGTGGATTTTCTGGTTGATTTTGTAAGATTGCAGTATTTACTTACAGCTACAGGAAAATTGCCACTAAATTTGTATATAGTAATACCTCGCGAAAAGAGAAATACTCAATTTTGAAATTGGGATACTATCTTGACTGCAACTTTTGCACACCTTTATCAACCTTTGTGATTCTGTAGTCATTGTGGTTTTTCTGGTTGATTTTGGAATAATTCAGTATTCACATACAGCTACAGGAAAATTGCCACTAAATTTCACATGTAAGTTACTGAACAACAAATATGCTCAAAAACAAGGAAGTTCCATCCAATCTCAGTTGGTAGGTGAGCACAATACTAATCCGGAGCAATTCTATAAGGCTCATGGTATAAAATTATTCAGAATGTTATAAGAATATGCTCCTATTTTACAATACTATTATGCTATCTTCCTCTTAATCCACCTCCATCATCGATTCATCAACCTTTCAACTTGCCTTTGTTATTCCAAATTAACGCAACAATCTCTCTGAACATTTTTGTCAAAGACATCGACATAAGTTACAAACACCATATGTGTGAATCTAGTTACTATCTAGATTAGTCTTCAGAAACTTTGCCGCTGTGTCAAGGAGTATTACACCATGAAAGACCCTCTCCTATGCAACTGAACTCTCTCCCTCAACTCCTCAAAGGCCCACATTGTATCAGAATCGAGTCCTCTAGCAAACTGCCAGATTAAAACACCATAAAGTTACTCTTATTGTATTTGTATAAGCGCATGAATCCGATAAACAATTTTCTGCACTAAAATTTACTTGCCTGGTATGCGCGGTAAGCAAAACGCACACCCTGAAGTAGAAGCGCTTCTTGTATTGATTCTCTCTCTGTGATTCTTACTGACTCGACCTCTGTTGACACTCTCTTGATATAAATTTTTGCGAGTTTCACAGATCCCATCTCTATCTGCACAAGCAATATTGCAATCTATTATCATTTTTATGAAACAAAATAATCTTCTAGTATTTTTGGTTTTTTTTGTTTTCTTGTTTTTTTTAGGATTTGCATATTTTTCAACATAAGCCTGAATTGAACATATAATAGGAGCCATATATGATGTAATGATAATTTTTTTAGTTGGCCCTTTGTCCTTTACGACATAGATTCCAGAAAGAGGATAAAATGAGACATAAAACCTCAATAGAAAAAACAATCTACTCCATAGCTCTATATGAAATTATAAGTATTGCTCATATAAAGATAATAAAAGACATAATTTAACCTCCTTATACTTTAATATTCAACAACTACATATTTCAATTATTCAAAACCGAAAGAACCGTTGCAAGTCTCGGTGTGGTTTGGTTCGGTTTGTTCAGTTCTAACTTCATCAAACTTTCAATAAAGTGCGAACCGACCGACTGTTTGCACACCCCTAGAAACCATACAAAACCAACCGAACCACCCATTATCTACAATATGGGAGAAAACTGACCAACAAGTTGAATAGAAAATATCCACCATGTTTAGATAACCATGGTATGATGATGCTAAATGATCAAGATTGACAATTTATACGCAGAATTTTAATCTGCTGAAGCAAACAATTCAATAAACGATGACTTAATTGAATATTCTCATAATATACCAAGATGATAAACTTATGAATATCAAATTGAGTACAATATGCAATGTAAAGATGACACTCAAATGCTCTAGATTAACAATTGTACACAAACATGCACATCTAGTTTATCTTCAACTTGACCAATTCGACGAGAAATGTCTGAAATAATATGGGTTTTAGTCATTTATATGTCACATATCACAAACAAGAATATATATTTGAAACTTATATCCCGAATCAAGCAATTTGAATTCATACGATTTAGCTCAAAATAGGAAGATATACCTCTGCTTTAAGCTTCTCCTTCTCCTTAAGAAGATTATCATAACCCTCCTTAAGTGTTGACGAACGCGCATTCCCTGGAGCATTTTACGCAGGTGAAGCTCAAGAAGAGGGGGTCGGATACCAAGTATTTGGCTACTGTGACCGAGTGTGACATTGCCTTGTTGACTGTCAGCGATGAATTTTGGGAGGGGGTCTCTCCTATCGAATTTGGGTCTTTGCCTGCACTACAAGATGCTGTTACTGTTGCTGGTTACCCGATTGGAGGAGACACAATCTCTGTGACTAGTGGTGTTGTTTCATGTATGGAGATTTTGTCATATGTCCATGGCTCCACTGAGCTTCTGGGCCTGCAGATTGATGCCCCTGCTTTTAATGATAAAGGAAAATGCGTTGGTATAGCATTTCAGTCCCTAAAACATGAAGATGTGGACCCCTGCTTTTAATGATAAAGGAAAATGCGTTGGTATAGCATTTCAGTCCCTAAAACATGAAGATGTGGAAAATATAGGCTATGTCATACCCACACCGCGTTGGTATAGCATTTCAGTCCCTAAAACATGAAGATGTGGAAAATATAGGCTATGTCATACCCACACCTGTCATTACACACTTCATTCATGACTATGAAAAGTCAGGGGAATATACAGGTTTCCCTATACTTGGGATTGAGTGGCAAAAAATGGAAAATCCTGATTTGCGCAAGGCTATGGGGATGACGCCCATACAGAAAGGTGTTCGCATTAGGAGAATAGAGCCTACTGCTCCAGAATTTCATTTTTTGAAGCCATCTGATATCATTCTGGGCTTCGACGGAATTGATATAGCTAATAATGGAACAAACTCAAAAGGACCATTAGAACATCAAAGCTCTTCTTCAACACCTCATAATCCTTCTCAATTTGCTTCGTCTTCCACCTTGCTCTCCGATTCTGAAACCAAATAGCAACCTGTCTTGGTTGCAATCCAAGATCCTTAGCAAGCTGAATTTTTCTCTCAGGTTCAAGCTTGTTCTCAATTTCAAAGCTCTTCTCCAATAACTGAACTTGGGTGGAAGTGAGCCTCCTCTTCTTCTCTGGCTGATGGAGGGACTCATCATAATGATCATCAAAGGTTTCCTCAGGTTCTCTAGGGTGGTAGAATGGCTGGTTGCTTGTGCTATGGCAAATTTCCTCAAAGTTTAGCATTGATCTAGAGGCTGAAAATATAAGTACTCAAATGATTCAGTACAATGGTATGATAAGTGACGAAATAATAGTCAGTGAATTGTCAGTGGAGATTCATACAGTATTAATGAGAATGATGTAGAGAATACATCAATGAATCTTTAATTTCCCATGTCATGCCGAACAATAATTGTGACAAATAATGCAAAAAAAGATTCAATTATAGATATGAACAGCTCTCAATGGAAACTTATTAATTGAATTGCCTCTCAGGATAAAGTTTATTCGGATGAATCTTTAAAGACCAACGTCAAGTCTAAATATAACTATGAAAATTGATCAGAGCTTAACTTGAAATTTAACTTTAGTATCATAATAAATATGAAAAGGAAAAGGAGCTTACCACAGAAACCAGTATGAGAGGAGCTAGAAAAAATCAAAGCCTGGAAAGCCTCAGAAGAAATCCCTTCATTCTGCAGCAAAACACCCATCTCTGAACCTCCATAAACTCTTCTCCCTGTCATCTTTCTCTACTTGTTTCTACTTAGAGAGAGAAAACAGAGATCAAATTTTGCCTAAAACCCAGAAAAATTTACAACCAGATCTTCATCAAGATCACCGAAAGGGATCTCCTTGTTCAATCTAGGGCTTGTGGCGAAAGAAGCTAGTGGTAATGAGAACAGATCCAGATGAAATTTTTTCCTAATTCCCCTAATTCCGCTGCTTCTTTCCCTCCAAATTCCGTTGCCGCTGCTGAACTCCGCTCTGCCTCCCCGCACGAGATTTAGATGAATTTTTTTTTATAAATTCCGCTGCCTACCCTCGCGTGAGAAGCCGGAACAAGCGTTGTTCCGCCTTCTTATGAGGACTTGTTAACCCGTCTATTGACGGGATAAATGAGCATTTGAGGTCACGTGAGGGTTTATTAACCCTTTGTCATTTTTTTGTGTTTGGCAGGCTAATGAAGGGTTAACCCCCTTAACCCTTCATTTATCCCCTTGCCAAACGCAGCCTAAGGGATTACGTGGTTTTAGGAGGGCATCAGGTAATAATCATTCCAATGGTTACTTTCTACATTTTAGTTTCTTAATTATTGTTAAATTAGATTGCTAACAAAATCATTAGTCTACTTAATAGTGAAAATATGAAATCTCCAGAAATCTCTGGATCCTTAATAGGTGACAGTATATGACCTTTTTTTGATGGAATGGTGACAGTATATGACCTAGTAATGTGATGAGTTTGTGATTTAAGATTCAAATTCGTTGCCGTTTCTTTAAATAACTAAATTTGAAACATTTATACAGAGTTAATTAATTTTTCAGTACCATGATTAATGTAGGAGTCCTTCAGATTAATTTACATATCACTTACAATGCTCACACAAAAATAATGATGAGTCTTTTTTTTGGGTGGAAAATCATCCCAAACTGTTATATTTTTGCAAAAAAAAAAAAAGAAATAAATAATAAATTTAGTATCTTTTTGTCTTTTATGCATAACACTTCTTAATTATTTACAACGATATGGTAATACATCAAACACCTTGTATTATACTTATTTTATAACATACCATTCATCGTTTGCAAAATATATAGATTGTTTTACACTCTTTTCCCATTGATCGTCAGTAACAGCGACATCTGTGTTGCATATTTTCTTTTGGCATGGAAATTGAGACATTTTATGATAATATATAAGATCTTGTACATATGCAAATATATGAGATCTTGGTGTATTTGTGGAGAAAAGGCGTGACATATGCAAACTACAGTACGTACTAATTATTTTATTTTCTAAAATTTTTACTTGGTTTTATATTTTGTTATTTTGGGAAGTTATTCCCCTCCCTCTAGTGTCTACACTAATATTACCCATGGTGGATTTATTAAGTACTTTTACATGACGCAAGTTTTACTTTAGTGTAAATGTATAAATATTTGTATCACATTGTTTCTTCGGACCTTCCTTATCAAACAGATTGAAAGAAAAAATTACTTCGGACATTAATTTTGATCAGTTTAAAACTCTGCTTAATTAAGACGATGAAGCTTGATATTTCTCGTGTTTTCATGTTGCATCAGTCTCTTTTCATATTTTATCCAATAAACTTATGCTTTGCATGTCTTATATCTTGTAATTTAATATCTGTTACGTTTTTTTTTCCGAGAAATTTGTTACATATATATATATATTGCTTGACTGTTTATGTAATCAATTTGTCATCTTTTGAGACTCTAAACAATGCATTTTTCCTAATTTCATTGGGTAGTTGTTTTTTAAAAATAGGCATTGCAACAAATTTACCTTTAATTAAAGAAATTAGACAAATTTTCTTAACAGATTATTATATATGAGATTTGAGTCCCACTTTAGTCAAACTAAAAAATAAGTTTTTGGATCAAGGTTTTACCATCTAAAACAAGATTTATGGAGTTGCCGAACACATGAGTCATTTTTGAGACTCAAAATCATTTATTTTATGTTAGGCCTATATTTTGAACTATTTTATTCTAGGTCTTTATGTTTGACCCAATCCGTTTTGTGCAGGAGTTCTTAGATTTTTCAAGTATTTTAGTTTTTGTTTCATAACCGTCAGAGATATTATTCAGAATATTTTATTTTTCAGTTATTGAACTCTGAGAGTATTCTAGAATTTTTAGATTTTTCAGATTTCATTTTTCTCTTCGATAAGATTACTCTACACAATTTTCTTTCAAAATTTCTTCTAATATAATTGAGGATAATAAAGCTTTAATTTATAATAACTGAAGCTCCAATAGAGCTCAAAATTTCTTAAAATAGGTGTTGTTTTTAAGGGATGTTTTTAGAAAAAACATGAGGACGCTTTTAAAAACATTTTTTTTTTATTTTTTGTTGTTTGTAGTCTTTGATATTATATGAACCTTTAGTTTTTTTACAATATTGTCATATCTGTCCTAAAAATATTTTTTTTACTATTAATAAATAAAGTTATGTTTATGTTCGTCATTTTTTACTTATAACGATATTTATGCACGGATTTATACCCCTTAGCTGTTTTTTGAAGCAGTGATTACATATATACCTTCTAAACAATTACTTTCAATAACTTATATAAGTTGGTTCTATATATTGTTTATGTAAACAATTTTATCGTTAGCTCCTGCGAATATCAATCGGCTCATAGTTCCTCAAATCATTGAAATTGCTCTAGTTTTTTCAGATCCTAAGGAGTCTTGCAATTCGGTGACACACCAACAATCAAAGACACCTCAGCTCACGTTCTTTTGAAAAGAGTGGTTTAGAGGACATAATCTAATCTAATCTAATACTATTATAAAAATGTGTTGGTATGTTAAAATATTTCTTCCAAAAATACCCTCCAAACCACATACATGCATCCATAAAACACATACTTGCATACATATAAACACATACATATACATACATACATTCTTAATAATAGCATAACTCTCCTATTAATTGTCCACTAATATTAAATTCTATTTTTTGTAATCCTTCCACTAATCCAATATTAATGTTATCATAAATTTTTTTAAGATTGTAAGTTATATTTGATATAATAGCTGAGAATTGAATGCACACACATATGACAAACTACCCCTCCACTAATCCAATATTAATATTATCATAAAAAATTTTAAGATTGTAAGTTGTATTTGACATAATAGCTGAGAATTGAATGCACACACATATGACAAACTAATAATATATGTTTCAATTTGCAAACGAAGTGTCAACTTAAAATGCTTACATGCATACATTCTTAATAATGGCATAACTCTCCTATTAATTGTTCACTAATATTAACTTTTATTTTTTGTAACCCCTCCACTTAAAACGCACATATGACAAACTAATAATATATGTTTCAATTTGCAAACAAAGTGTCAACTTAAAATGCCATTAGTACATGCATTCATGCATACTTGAAATGAGAGTTAAAATTTTAATTGTAGTTTTTATTTAAGTGGCAATTATAGTTGACTGTTACGTAATCCAAAGAGCCTACTTTTTTTTATTTATCATAATAGTCCTTACTTGCAACCTATATAAATTCACTCATTTAATGATTTAGATTTACACTCGCCTCTTACAACCCTAACAGCATCCTATACTAACCCCATGGCTTTACTATGATATTATTTGGATGATACAAGCTCGCCAGTGAAAACATTATTCCTTCAGAAGAGATAACGACAAATGGGGGTGAAGACAATTGAAGTTATGCTGAGGAAGTACTGAGTTTTACTCGGGTTATACTTTATACTGATGTGATTGTTAGACTGACGGCTATATACGGATTGAGGATACGATTGAAACAAGGAAATGTGGAGAATTCGGATTGAGGTTAAAGTTTAAGGTCTTTTTTTTTGGGGGGGGGGGGGGGGGCGTTTAATGAATTTTTTTCTATTTCTATAATTATTACTTTGTACTTAATTGTGATTTAAGAAAAATATTGCATTATCCATGAACTTAGTAGATATATTTTGTGTAACATGTTACTAATTATATGATAATAGAAAAGAGAGAAGGTGAAACTGAGAATTTTATTTTGTTATAATAGAATAGCAAAAATAAAGATAATTAATATAAACTGGAATAACATGACACACTTAACATAAAAGTAAAGAACAAACTTGGAATTTTTGTCTTTTGTGTAAATTTTTTAAATATAATAAGCATATTATAACCTCCCTAATGTTAAAATTATATTCTAAATTTGCACATAAAACTACCAGTAGTTATTAAATGTCATTCCTTATCTTAAATTATAAAGTAACTTCCTGACTATAGCTTCGCAGTGACAACCTTGATCGAATATGTAGGATAGGTGGGAGGTGGTGACACACAACGACCAATCCTGAAAGACCACTCTTTCGTCTAAGGATCCCTAATCGCCGCGGGAGGTGGTGACACACAACGACCAATCCTGAAAGACCACTCTTTCGTCTAAGGATCCCTAATCGCCGCACTGATCATTCGAGGGGGGGCGGGACACTGCGAGGTGCGTAGTTTATCTGGGGCGGATGCCTCCTAAAGAGTAACGGAGGTGTGCGATAAATAGAACTATGTCTTTTAATATTAAAAAAATTTGTATCTTTTGGGTATTCCATGATTTACCAATGTTCACAAAATAACCCTGAATTTTTCACAAACAACCATGGATCTTCATAATTTTCTCAAAGACCATTGAAATTTCATATATTTATAGAAAAATACTAAAACTTCATAATTTTTTACAAATAAACCCCTATATAGTTCAAAACTTAAATCTTAAGAAGATTGAAAGAAGTATATGATCTAAATTGTAAGAAAATTACAAATAAGTCCTCAAATGTTGTTATAATTACATTCAAAATGAAACTCTTCCATTAAGTAAATAATAAATTGTGTAAAGTATTAGAACATAAAACAAATATGTCCACGTGCGTTGCACGTGCACTATACTAGTATTTCTAAATGATGGATCGAATTGCAAGTCCCCTTATCATTTGAGGGATGTATGAGCAATTTCAAAGGAATGAAGCGACTATATGAAATTATTGAAGATTAGAGGGGCTAATATCTAAATAACCAAATATATATTAGGAAAACATGAAATAATAATAAGACCAAGACAAGAGTATCACTTTAAAGCAATGGAATTTTCGAGGTGTGATAAATGTGAAGCGTGTTTGTAGCGTACACGCTCCAGTTTCAAAAATGATTTTCAACTGTCCTTTTTTGCTATTTTCACCAGCGAGCTTTTGGTAGTTGAAGGACCCACAACAACACTCCGAATTTGCATGGCTAAATTAAAAAAAACTGTACGTGCCTTTGTCTTTATTTGCAGAAGTGCGGAGCTATTTTCTGTTGCAGTCCAAATAAATCTAAAATATTACATCCATAGACCTCACAAACCCGATCTCGCAAAAGGCCAAGGGCAAATTTTGACAAGTTAGAAAACTGATAGGGTTTAATTTGAAAGAAAGTACAAATCGAAGGGTTTTTGATAATAGCAACATATAAAATCCCGAGGCCCGAGTACTTCGCTCTCCCTCCCTCTCTCTCTCTCTCTCCAACCTTCAACAAAAGATTTTTTTTCCCTTTCTTGGTAGCCAAGTTTTGATCTTCATCCAAAATTCTTCAACAATGGCGGTTGATTCCGGCTACGAGAAGTCGAGAAAGAGAAAGAGGAAGAAGAACAAGAAAAAGCTTCTTGTTGGAGAACACGTAGAGGTGATTTCTTTTTTATAAGTTCTAATAAGTATATTTGGCTAACTTAGGGTTTTGTGCGTTTTTGGCTTGATGTCCAAATGGGGTTTCTCGTAATATTCTGATTAATGCTTATCCGAATTTTCAATTGGGTAATATTGGTGTTTTCCAATCATAAAAAGGATTTTTTTTTCTCTCTCTCTCTGTTTTAGTGCTTTATTTTTGGGTTTTAATGAAAATTGTAGCCTGGTAGTTATTTCTTTTTAAGGCAATTGTTTTCTATTGATCTTAAAATCTTTCTCCTTTTATTTAATTGTGCGTCTTTGTATATTTCCCCCCATATTTGTGCTTAGATGTGAATATCTATTTATGTGTTTCACTTGACATTTATTAAAGAAAATTCCATTAAAAATTTTCCCCAAAAAAATCTTTTATTTTTTTAAAATGTGGTTAAAATGCCTAAACCAATTTACAATCTTAAGCCATGAGATATGTTTGTGGTTGCTGATTCAATTGTAGGAATTATGAATCATTTCGGCTGTGCAGTGGGATGGGTTTTTCCTTTTTTTTTCCTTTTATTCTATATCTTAATCATATGTTATCTTAAGTTGTATGCTCTGCTGAAAATTTCTATTCGTTTTTTTAGTATACTAGTATCATTTTAATCTTTTTGTGTTGGCAATATTGCTAATCCCAGAAGTATTTTAAAAAAAAGGGTCCCAGAAGTATTTTATTCTGCAATGTAACATGCAGGTTGCAGGGGCAGAGTTATATGTTGGACAAATTTCGTAAACCTACCATTTTGGACAAAATTACTATAAACTATTTTTATTTGAAAACAATCCCACAAACTTTCAAATCAGAAAAATACTATATACTCTCAAAAAACATATATGGTAGCTTTTTATACCTGAAAACCCTTAGTAGTTACTGAACAGTAACGTTTGTTTTTATTTTTTTTTAAATTTATGTTATTTTGTGGTTTTCTCTGAAAATAGTTTGTAATATTGGTGTGCAAAGCATTAAACACATACTGTTCATGTTTTTGTGAAACTTATCTAAAAGTGCTAAGTTTGTTGTACACCACGCCGTAGCCTTGCTTTTAGCTTTCTTAAAGTACATGATTCCAGTGTCTCTATAGCATTTTGTGTGGCAACTATTTATTTGCTCATGTTTTTAGTTTTCTTCTGTTCTTTTTGTTTTGCTATTTGACGCTATTATAATATTTTAAACTCAGTATCACCTTTTATAGCCCATTTTTTGTGTTGTACAGAATTGTAATCTCAACCGTGCACTGATTTACAATGTAATATTTTGCATCCCGTAATCAGTAAACATTGGGTGAACCTTTAATGGTTTTATAGCCTTTTGAACAATTGTTTGATTCTCATTTCCGTTTGGACTTTCCTTTGTATAATTTAGACTCATTTTTAGCTACCATTTTGGACTTAAAAGGACCTCTAACTCTATTTTGGCAATTCTTTCTAATTCTTCTTTATATGTTGCTGTTGCTTCTTAATTTTGCACAATCTCTAATGCTGAATTTTTATAACTTCTAAACATTTCAACGCTATCGTTGTACTCATTTATTCAATCTTGAGTAGTTAAGCGTTTCTAATTTCCAATTGTTCCCAGTTCATGTATCATCTCTCCATTTTGGCATTTTTATTTATCGCTTCTGTTACTTTATTCATCTTACTCTTAACAGTATAATTGAAATATGTCTCCAAGAAGTCGAAGCCCTTGTATTCTTACCCTTATGTTTGGTATTACCTTAGGTCTTATATTCTGATGAAGGGCTTAAAGGATCCTGGCACTCGGGAATAGTTATTGAGTTAGAAGAAGGCACTCGGCTTGTCGAATATACAAATCTTATGAATGAGGACAATTGCTCCTCACTTATAGAATCAATCCCCGTGTCTCCAGCAATTGAAGGACAGATTGTAAAAACACAAAAAAACCACCATGGCAATATAAGGCCTTTACCACCTCATTACGAAGTCCAAGAATCCGAGATCAAATATGGGTTGTGTGTTGATGCCTTGGTGGACGATGCATGGTGGGAGGGCGTGGTATTTGATCAGAAAGAGGGTTCAAAAAAGAGGTTGATCTTTTTTCCTGATCAAGGTGATCAACAAATGGTGACTCTGGATCGATTGCGTCTCACCCAAGAGTGGAACGAGGTTTCTGGGCGTTGGAAGCCTCGGGGTGAGTGGATTTTGCTTCAAGTGCTTCAACCATTTGAGCAGGAAGAGGGACTGCCAGTATCTATTAGGGAAATTTGGTACGATTTGAGAATTACAGCTACATTCTCAGAGAAAATTGGAGTGTGGACGTTTGGATCTCGTTCTATCTGGCACACTTTGGTTTCAGAGATAATACAGGAGCTGCGGTCTGTTGTTCTTGGTGTGATTATTTTAAGCAGTCCTGCATTTTCTAGATTACATCCAATCAATTATTGCCCTTTGTCAGACAGCCCTTTCAATGAAAGGCGTGCTTCTGGGAGTTTTTCTCATGTAGACATAGAAAACGTGAAAGCAGACGGTTCAAGAAGTGGTTTAAAGAATTTTCATGCTATTTATGATCAGAAGTCTGTGGGGGAAGTCTGTGGTTCTATTAGTTCAAGAAGTGGTTTAAAGAATTTTCATGCTATTTATGATCAGAAGTCTGTGGGGGAAGTCTGTGGTTCTATTATAGACGCCAGCGAGACATGCAGAAGGGCTGATTATCAAGAAGCAAGGCATAAAATGGTTGATGGTAGAATAAGTGGGGGAGCCAGAGAAACTTGGAAACCTTTGGATCTTGAGGTCTCATATTATCCTGAAGCTGCAAAGATCTGTGCACATGAACTTTGGAGAAACTTCATTTCACCCGATGATAAAGCTGAAGATGTAAAACTGAAAGCTAGGACGCATCTTTTAGCTATTGGATGGAAGATTGAAACTAGAAAGGACGAGAGGATGGTAAGGTTTTATTATAAATCACCCGAGGGGAGAAGCTATGCTTCCCTCTATAGAGCCTGCTATGCATTGTTAGAGGGGCAACAAAAGAGGAAGCAAAAGGGCAGAAATGACCTGATTCAAGGTTTGTCAAAGAGAAGCAAATATTGGAGGGAGGATTCTAGGCTTGACACAAAATCAAACAGGATATACACACAGAAATCTCAATCCTTATCCAAAATGATTGATTCTGGCACCAACAAGGAGATTTCATCCAGTGTCTTTCAAGAGTGTTGGCCTACTAACCATGCCATGTTAAGCGAGAATGATCTGTTGTCAAATGATTTTGAAAATGTCTCTCTTGTGTCTGATGATCTTGAACCAGGGAGGTTCCCGGAAGCGGTATTAGAGTATAAAAGGTACTTGGATTTATTCAGGGCTGAAGTTAAACATGTTACATCACGTGACATCAATATGATCAGGTTGAATGCTCGGAAACATCTCAAATTCATGGGATGGAAATTTTGGATCAAAAGACAAGAAGCAAATAAGCTGTTTATAACTTCTCCGACTGGAAAGGCTTTTCAATCTCTTTATTCGGCTTGTGTTGAATACTTGAAAGAAGAAAATCTCAATAACAATACTGATGAGGCATCACTAAAGAGGGCCGGAAGCAGAATTGTAAATCTCTCTAATTTTTCAGAATCTGGGGAAAATAGATCTGATAATTTGGTCATGGAAAGAAATGGGAAATTGAAGAGAAAGAAAGAACGTTGTCATTTTGCTTCATTTCCATCCACATCTTCAGCTTCTCCATCTTCTGCTGTTGAAAATTCAAAAAGAAAGAAGACATGCCAAGATAATGAATTAAGCAGTTATCTCTCCCCACAGGAAACACAGTCAAGGAAAAGGCCGCTACAGAGATCAGTACAAACTTCCAGCCAGCGTGGTGCGGGAACTGTGTTATCTTTGCTGATAGAAAATGACATGGTGCATCTAGGGGATCAAGTAAGCTATATTCGTAAGAAAGATGGACAGGTTTTGAAGGAAGGGAACATTGCAGCTGATGGGATAAAGTGCACGTGTTGTAAAAAGATATATAAAATTAGCAATTTTGAGGTTCATGCTGGAAGCACATACCGAAGACCTGCTTCCAGCTTATTCTTAAAAGACGGAAGATCGTTACTGGAGTGCAAGAAGCAGATGATACAATATAATAAGCCTAAAGCCTTTCGACGCCTCCGAGTGAAGGGTGACTGTTCTGAGTATAAAAGTGATGCTATTTGTACTGTTTGTCATGATGGTGGTTCACTAGTTCTATGTGATCACTGTCCATCCTCGTTTCATCTCAGCTGTGTGGGTTTGGAGGTAATGAAAATTTTTTTACTATAAATTTTTGGGACTCTCTTATATATAGTCTTGTTATCGTTAATTTAATGTGTTTACTGCAAAGCATACGTCACTTTGCTCAGCAGAATGATTTTTTTTTGCTTGCAATGCATCATGCAGTTTTTTATCATTTCCAATATGGATTATTCTTTGCTACTTTATCTATAAAGATGTTCCAAGTATCATCATTTTGTATTTATTTTACTAATATTAAAGGATTGAATGGTCCATCTTCCTAAGATCAGTATGCTAAGTTTAAATATCTTGTTTACAATAAAATATTTGTTTACAATCTCATATTGTGAGCTTGAGTTATCTTTTTTCTCTTATAGAGTGTGCCAGAGGGAAAATGGTTTTGTCCATCCTGTCAATGCAGAATATGTGGCATGAGTGAGTTCAATTATGATGCTGACCAGTTCTCCGAGAAGACAATACTGTATTGTGATCAATGTGAGCGTGAATGTGAGGTTTTTTTAATCTGTTTTATCCTCCACATTCCCTTTTTTTTCCTGCATCCTGAATGTTTTTTCGAATGTATATGACGTTCAATTTTATGTGCTGCAGATCATGTTGGGTGCATGAGAAAGAGAGGGGATAAAACTTTAAGTAGTTGTCCAGTTGGAAATTGGTTTTGCAGTGAAAAATGTTCAAAGGTAGTTCCATCTTCCCCCTTCTCTGCATTCTTGCTGAGTATTGATTATGGTATGTTGCATATGCATTTGCACAGGCCTGATATCACAGATCACAGATATGGAAATGTTATTAAATGTGCATTATAATTATAAGCAAATATAATCATTAATATTTCACTGCTAGGATCAATTGATATATGTTTCTTTATATTAATGTGTAGTGTTGACAATAATTTTACGAGTCTAGTTGTAAACTATATCACCTTGTGTTATTTACATGTTAACTTTTAATATGCAAGATTCCATTAATTCTTGTACCAACAAATACTTAGCTCCTTAATAGCACAAAATCCTTAGGGGTATCTAATCATTTCTATATAAACTTTTTCTGCCAATGCTGCACTTGCAACTTCTACTCGATAAACATGCTTACTTCATTATCAAAGGTATACGCTCTTTAATGCTGGCATTTGCCTTTTCTTGTATAGTTATTGCAGTCAATGTATTATGCAATCTACATTTTTAAGTAAAAAAAAGCTTACCACTGTAACTTCGGAAAGTTATAGTATATAATTTGCTAGTGGCCACTTTGCAGATATTTCTTCATCTGCGACAACTTCTTGGGGTATCTCAACCAACAGCTGTAAAAGGGTTACAATGGACTATTTTGAGATCAAGTAGGGAAAATGGGGTTGATAACTTGCAATTCGATGCTGAGACCATGACTGAGCATGAAAGCAAGCTCTGTGTTGCGCTTAAAGCACTGAAAGAATGCTTTGTCAGTATTACAGAACCTCGTACACAGAGCGATCTTGTTGCAGATCTTCTATTTAATAGAGAGTATGATATTTCCCCCGCATTATTATTTTTCTTCAATTTGATTTTCTGTTGAAGTTATTCTTTATACCAATCTTCTAAACTATTATTATTTAATATCTCATTCGTTTCTTATTTTGGGCTGCTACAAATTCAATGCTACCTTTCCCTTAATGTATAATACCATTTTATTTCCTAAATAAGATATTTGTTCCTTTATTCTTATTTGATTGAAGTATCTGTTACGAACTTTCTCGCTGATCCTTCAGGTCAGAGCTAAGGAGGTTAAACTTTTATGGATTTTATACCATGCTTCTGGAAAAAGAAGATGAGCTAGTATCTGTAGCTGTATTCAGGTATTATTTGATATATTCAGTTAGATATCATTTATTTGGTTAGTTCATCATTCTCCTTGGGTAGAAATTTTGAAGTATAAACTAATTATGGTTTCTACGAATTCTTATTTAGGGTTTATGGAGAAAAGGTTGCGGAAATGCCTCTTGTTGGTACGAGATCCAAATTTCGCCACCAAGGAATGTGTCGCCTTCTTGTCAGTGAACTTGAGAAGGTATTGCAAATAGTAACCCAGTCTTATTATCATTAACAAAATTATGCAAAAAAAAGGATGCAAACAATTTTCCTTTGCCTGTGCTTCCTCGTCCAATCTGGGATTCTTTCAACAAAGAGCATCTAACCGTGTTTAATCAAACTATTCAATGTGCATCACTGAGTTACTTATTACTTCTAAGCTTTGTTGAAGTTCAGTTCTTGCAATTATCCACCTAGATTGGGCAAATGTGTGCTGTTTTAAGAATAAACTCCAAAATCATGAACTCAACATATAACAATGAAGTGTTGATACTGGTTCTAATGTAAATTGTTTAGAATCTGGATGGGAACTACCTTTTTAGCCATGACTTAGTAGTCCACTTATGTGATAACCGATATGTTTTTATGTGTTATCATCCAGTTGCTTTCACATTTAGCGATCAAGAACCTGGTATTGCCTGCAGTTCCTCAGCTCTTACAGACATGGACATCTTCCTTCAGATTTAGCAAGATGACCAGTTCGGATAGATCGAGCCTTTTGGAACACACAATTCTGTACTTCCAAGATACTATAATGTGCCAGAAACTCCTAGCAAGAGCTCCAACAGTTTCCATGAAGCCAGAAGGTATTTCTGCTCAAGATTACCAGCTCTCTATATCTCTTCTAGTGATCAGGATGAAATTTTCATCAGTGCTTGCGGTTTCAGGACAGTGCAAAAAGATAATGGACATATGCAATAGAAGTATTGAGATGGACTCTGAAATTGACAATAATGTTTCTGAAGCTGGCCATTCTCCGATTAGTACTTGTTCAAAGCCAATCCAGCAAGAAGAACCACAGCCTGAGCGGAATGGCCTGGTAAAGTATGTTCACTTCCTTTCTTGGAATTAGTTATTTTTGTTAAATACAGGAGTCCGCTTCATTGGTATCATTATTCTTATCACATTAACCTGTGGGTTTTCCCATAATGTTTGAGAAATTGGTGCTATTTTGAGCATGAGCGACATGGACTTCTGATAACTTTTCCCTGGTTGGCAGACTTGCCTTCTTTAGATATTTGCAAGTCTAGACTTTGCCTTTTAAGGTTATGCAGGTTTAACTCCAGTAGTCAAAAAGTATAGACTTAAGTGAAGTGACATGCAAATACATCCTTGTCTTGATCTTGAACTTCATTTTTTTTAAAACCCTTCTGAACCGTTAAGTAGCAATTACTGTTAGTCTAGGCAAGGTTTTGTGACATGTAGCCAAATCTACCCAACACTTCTGTTTCGGTTGTTGTGCTAGAAACATGACATAACAAACGCAGGACGTTCACATCATGATCACACTAATCAAATTAGACAAAAAAGAAGTTTAGAATTACCTCAATTGCTATCCCAACATCTCCATTGAAATCCCAATATTTTTTTAAAGCTTCCTCAAGAGAAAAACCTCTAACCGAATCCACCCATCACCAAGAGGATGCAATATAAAAGAGATAGGAACTCTAAAATTCAATTTAAGTCTCCTCAAACCTTTTTCAAGATCCAAGTACTACTTATAGAGAATAAGTTTCCTCCAACTTTACTTTGGACACAAGTACTACTTGGCTCTACACTCTCTTGCTTTTTATGGTAATTTGCCTCTCCTATTATTAGGCAATGGCAAGCCATTAAGTTTTCTTTTCTTTCCAAAGTGGGACTATTTCTAAAAGAGAACAAGAGACAAGCTAAAGGGCAAGTTGTAAGCGAAGGAGGTTTATCATCACAAGCCAAAATAGTTGTTCATAAAAATCCTTTTTAAATTGTATATTTCGTATTTCTACAAATAGAAATATTTATATTCATTTAATCCTCCTATGTGGCATTAGTGGGACCAATTGGGTTCTCATGTCGAGAGCTAATTGTTAATCAAATTAATTCTCAATTAAAATTGATCAACAATTTTAATTTAATAGTCAGGTCTGTATCCAACCAACTGTTCATAAAAGCTTTTCCATAATATGAGAATAAATATTTAGAAAATATTATCTTATATTTAGTCACTTTCAGTATCAATTGATTTTCTTTGGACAATTTAATTGAGCAAGACAATTCACCTATTTGCTCATGCCTAAAGTAGTAATTCCCATGAACAAAGATTTATTTTAAAATAACAATATGATAATAAATATATATTTTTTTTTTCAAAACCACATGTTAACATGGTTTGTACCTTCAAGAGATATGCATAATAAATTTTACTCATTATAATGAGCATACTAGATCTTATATAGATATTCATCATTTCCCAAAATGAAATCTAGTATCCGAATCCTTTAGGATTTTAGCACTTTCAAAGCAAGTTTAGCCATCACATCAAAGTAAATTAAATTACTAAATTGGATATGACAATACGATCATGTGACAATTTGAATTTTCTATCTCTTAAGTGATATATCCTAAAAAATTCAAATATGGTCTTATACTACACACATTACCATGTGTGCTCACTATGTTCTCCCAGGAAGTCCCTAATCCCCCAGTCGTTGAGACCCCCCTATGACTCTTATGTTAGTGTTATGCTTGATAACCTGATACAGCATAATTATTCTTTACTAATTATAAGTCTAAATACAAATTTAAGTGATCGTTAGATCATATCTCCATGCAATTGATCATTCACTATATATGATCTTACAAAATAATTTTTAGTGTATAATAACATTTATATGTATAACAACCAAAGAATATGGGCAACCATAAAATGTTTATTAATACTCATAAGTACTACATAAATTGCATTAGATGTAAAGGGCACATTATACTACACTAGCATGTCGATCTTATAAAGAGGCGTGACAGCCGATGATGACAGTGCATGGTATGAATGTTCCTTTAATGCATGTTTTTTTATCTGAGTTATAGATGGATGATCAAAGAAGACGGAGCTTCATCGGAGGCATGGGTTGCAAGAGCGTGAATAGAACAAGATGTGTGTGTTGGAATGTTGAGGTAAAGGAAGTGAACATTGACAAAGTTATTGTTCACGCCAATGAACTGTATGGGTTACTATTCAACCAATGGACAAGAATCCAATTTGGGAAGAGAGGGAGAAGGGGTTTTGTAAAGTTAGGTTTTGGTTTTTTTAAACTTATTTATTTATAGTCTTCTGTGGATGGAAAGAGGTCAGGTGATGTTTTTAGTTTGGGATGGGGGGATTTCTCTTGAGGAACTGATGCGGGACAACAGAATTTTTTTAGGGATTTATGGTGGAGATTTGAGAGATTTGGGGAAGAGCAAGGAATTGGGAAAAACTAGGATTTGGAAAGATAACAAAAAAATTAACAATTTTAACAAGATATGACCACGGATCGCAACCCGGGTCTTAGCTTCATCACCATTGGCTCAATCTTAGAGGTCAAATCAATTACCCAAAGTTTCACAAATATAAACAAAATTTTCTTCAAATAATCATTGCCTTTATTTTATAAAATTTACTTCTTTAAATAGGCCTTCAACAAGTACAAGTTCACTCCTATATCCAATGTGTGACTAAAATTATTGAGCAAATACAATAAAGAGGAAGTAAAAGTAATACTAGCTAGACTCCCAGCCTTTGTAGGGTCTGACTTAATTATATATATCAAGTGTAGGATCGTGACCCTTAAGAATAGAGTGTGTTCTTATAAAAATTTGTGAAAACTTTACACTTAAACTCTAGAGGGTGAGTTTAAAAAGTAGATTATAAATTGCAAAGAAACAGGCAATCTCAGAAAGTGAACATCACAAACACAAGCATGTATACTGGTTCTACCTCCCCGGTGTACATCCAGTCTCCAAGCAAATCCCGCTTGAGATTTTCACTATGATTTTAAAACCTTATAAAATCACAAGTAAACCTGATTAATTTGTAAAACCATGCAACTTGCAAACCCAAATAACAATACCATGCCAATTGTAAACCGACCTCTAGACCAAGAGATCAACCCCTCTCACAAACCGAGAGAATCTTTCTTTGAAGCAAGTACAAATCCAAGCCTATAAGCCTTGAATGTGTTGTGAACGTGTTTCTCACTGTGCCTATAGGTTTTTCTCTCTGAAATTTGCCTAAACACTTAGTATGAAATGATCAAAGAACATAGGCTATTTCAGAACTTTTATTCTAAGGCAAAATCTGAATTTTAGAACACTTAGAATGCACAAAACGTTTAATCTTTTGAGTGCAACACTTCTTGATTGTTTTCTGACCTTTCTCTCTGTGTAGTCAGTATTTTTCTTAGTGTCCGACTACTTTGTCTATTAGTCGACTATGTAAAAACAGAAAGTCTGGAATTCAAATTCAACTCTTATTAGTCGACTATAATGCTTAGTAGTCGACTAGTCTGTAATGACACAAAAACTGATATTCTGTCTGTGTCTGTTGTAGTCGACTATTCATGCTATTAGTCGACTATTAAGGGATAGATATGAGCTATATGATATGTTTTAAGTCTCACTCAGTATCTATTAATTCTAATGGTTAACATAGGGGATTTTTACTATTAACCAACACACTAAGCATGTGTTAGTGTGTTCTAACACTATGTGTGTGCATTTGTGTGAGTGATTAAGGCTTGTACATATTTCTAAGCAAAGAAATATAAAATTATATTTTAACAATAAAGTATATCTTTTTTTTTGCTTCATTTTGCATTGAGCCTCATTTATGTCTTGAGTATCTCTTTGAATATAATTGTTGATTTAGCTCTGGTACTGCAAAATAAATGTTAACATATAATACACACAATATATAATATTTGTTATCATCAAAACAAACTAATCTTGGGGTCAAGATTCCTAACATTCTCCTCCTTTTTTATGATGATAAATATATATATATATTAAAAATTTTAATCCTCCTACATGAAATCATTAGATAAAATCTTTTACTCCCCCTGTATCAAAGCATTAGTAAAAAGTTTTAAAATTTAAAATTTTCTATATAACCCGCCCTTTGTCATTAGCAAAAAGAAATAAACATAATTCTAGTTAAATTCATTTTTCTTTTCTCGGGTACCTTAATAAAAACATTACGCACTTTGGTACCCTTTTTATATTATATTATTAGGATTAGCCCTTAGGAATCCAAATCCACTTAGAATTTGGTTTCCATTTATTAACATAATTATAATTCTTTAAATTGCATATATTTTTCTTAAAACTTGAAATATAATCATCTCTTTCATTTAAGCAAGTACCTTTAGGTACCCAAATGTACATCGATTTCTTATACAAAGATACTTTATAAGATGATGCAAAATGTGTTCTATTAACATATTCATTTTTCTTGTGAACATATCCTAATCCAAACTTTTGATTAGAAGACTTTTGAAAAGATAATAAATTAGTCAAGTCTTCTTTTCCTTTGTTGAATTTGTTCACATTAAAAAATATCTCTTCATATTTGAGTTTAAAAGAACACATTTCTTTATCTAAATCTGAAATACGAGTTATTAATTTATCACATTCAGATTTTAGATAAATATTATCATTAGTCAATAATTTATTTTTAGAAAATAAATTATTATTTAGTTAATTCAAATTTTCAACTTGTGAAGAATTTGAAGATACTAATTCTAAGTTTAATTTTTAATTTTTAGTTTTTAATAACTTATAATTAGATTTCAAATCCTTATATTTAACATAAAGTTCATTGAAAGCTTCTAAAAATTCATCATTATTAAAGTTATCGCATACCTCATCTTCTTGTGCCATAAAACACAAGTGAGCGGATTCCTCTTTTTGTTCTTCTTCTTCTTCGGAAGAAGATGAGTTGCTATCATCTCATGTCATTGCCAAAGCCTTCTTCTTTTTATCTTTTAACTTCTTGAAGTTTGTAGATTTTGACTTTGACTTTAGAAGAG